AGGTGTCCAAGAAGAGTGGTTGCTCCTTAAGGATACTATCCTCCAAGCCCAAATGGAGGTAATCTCAACATGGATCAATGGGAGCAGGAGGGCGCGAAAGCCCCCATGGCTCACCAAAAGCATCCGGGAATGTCTCCTAGCTAAAAGGGAGGCATACACCCGATGGCAGGAAAGGGCCATTACCAGGGAGGATTATACTGCAGTTGCTCAGGGATGCAGGGGGGCAGTCAGGAAGGCCAAGGTGGAGATGGAACTGGGACTAGCTTCCTGGTTCAAGGACAACAAGTTGTCCAGCTAGGGCCAGGAGCTCCTTGCTGCTTGGGTAGTGGGATAGTCTCCTGCCCCAGCAGCAGGCAGCCCCCTCCTAGGGCCAGAAGACAGCTGTTTCCTGGCTTGTGCAGATGCACCCATTGAATAAATCATCAAAACTCATCTCAGATTAGCCTTTTACACCAGTCACTCTTACTGTAGCTTTCAAACAGGTGCCTTCATGCTGCCCTTCATGGGAAGCTGTCAACCATCTGCACGGCTACCTCCAAAACCCTCTCTGATACCTGAAAACACAGCTTGTTAGCTGATTCATCAAACTAAGTGGCTCTCTCTCAGATAGACTGATGTTAATCTGTTAGTGCTGCGCCATCCATCAAATGTATTATGGCTATCACTTATCTAACACAAGCAGTAGCTTTTTACTGTGGTGCACAGTGCTTGGGACAATACAGCACTGTATATCCTGCTAGCAAGGAGAAACTTGAACATTACACACAAAAATGGACATTTCTGCTTTGGTCAGTAAAAAAGGTTTAGCCCTGTACCTAGTGGGAACACAACTTCAGCAGGTCCAGCTGCAGGTCAAGTGGTTAGAGGTAGAAGAACTTGCTAAGTGTTGTAGTTGTTTAGTCCATGTGCATATGTGCATGGATACACTGGGGCTTCAAAGTCCAAAGGAAGCAGGCAGGTGTTTACAGCTTTGCAGTCAGTAGAGGGGTCCAAACATGAATCAGGCTGGTTACTTTCCTAGCAACAGAGTTTGCCTGATGAATGACTACATGAAAACAACGCTGCTCTACCTTCGATGTGCTGCATTCTTTTTTCTAATTGATGCAAGAGATCTGACACACACAGCACCAGCTGATGCAGGATCTATGGTGTAGAAAAAAACAACTGCCACAGAATATACAGGGTCTGGAAGTAACTTGACACATCAGAAGGCCCAGCATCACATAGCAGCACACAGGCGGTTTTGGAACACATAACAGACAAAGATTAATAGATTAGCAGGCCAGCTGGTTACTCAGGGTACAGCAATTAAAGCCACAGATGGCTAGAAGGGGGCTCCTGGGCTAGAATCTAGTTCCCCTAAAAAGACCTCTCCTAAATTTTCTGTCAATACTGTCCTTTAGCCAAAGAAACATTTCTTCTTCCTTTTGTGTGTATATTTCATACATAGCAGACTAAATGAATATATATTGTATCCCTCCTAAGTCCTCTCTGTGGTGGCAGATGACAGAATAAGGAGCAATGGTTCAAGTTGCAGCAAGGGAAGTTTAGGTTAGGTATTAGGAAGAATTTTCTCACTAGAAGGGTAGTGAAACACTAGAACAGGTTACCCAGAGAGGTTGTGGACTCTCCAGCGTTGAAGGTTTTGAAGACCCAGCTAGACGAAGCTTGGGCTGGGATGATCTAGTTGGGGATGGCCCTGCTTTGAGCACAGGGTTGGACTAGATGACCTCCTGAGATCCCTTCTAACCCTAATTTTCTAGATCTTTATAATTCTAAGCCAAACTGTTTACCTTCTTTCATAAAATAAGGTCTCCATCTCCCTTAGCCATCCTAGTAACCTTTTTTCCCCCTCTCTAGCTATTCTAGTGTAAATTTAGGATTATGATCAAATTGCATTCGGTCAAGTAGAGGACAGTTCCACGCAGCAATACATATGGCCACACTTATTCCTTCAGAGAGCTAATTACCCAAGATGGATAAGTTAAGAGCAAGAACTAACTCAGAGGGAAAAAATTAACAAAAATGGGAATGAGTTTAAGTTGGAAAAAGAGCTGAGTTCTACAATCAAGTTTATAAAAACCCATCTTAATTCAGTGGGAAGTCTAGCCAGTGATTATAAGTATAATTTAAAAAGACCTATGCAAGAAATGGACACTTATCAATGCATAGTAATCAATAGTTCAATGAATTTAAAATATTGGTAAAGGAAACAAAAAACCCCACACATGGCTGAAAGAGATAAACGTAGGTAATGGAGAACAAAAATCCTATCAGTACGATGGAAGCATGACTAAATGAAGTTGGTAAAATTGTTAATGATGCAGGGAAAGCATAAGTATTCAATAAATATTTTGTTCTGCATTTGGAAGAAAAGCAGGCTGTGCTTTTATCACAGGGGGACAGTGAAGTGCTTTTCAGTCCATTAGTAAGCAGGGAGGATGTTTATCATCATTTATTATAGGTAACTATTTAAGTAGCAATGTAGCATAACTTGTACCTAAAGCTTTGAGAGCAGGGAGATGCAAGCCTGAAAAAGAGGCTTAAGTTGTGCCAATACTCAAAAGAGTGCAACCATGCTGACCCAAGTAACCATAGGCTGCTTAAACTGACATTGGGTCTGGCCAAAACCATAGAAGAAGTGATACAGGATTCTACTGCTAGATACATTAGAACATCATTAAGTATAATCACTGCTAGTTGAAGATTAACTTGTTTGCCAAGCTCAGATTTCATACAGTCAACCCAATCAATCTCCAAAAGGTCACTGCTTGGGTAAAATGCAGTCTTCTGAGAAACATTTACTTATTTTAGTGCTAATTGTTAATCACTGTCACACAGTCTTATGAAGCATCAAAAAAGCATACATTAAGTAGAGTAACAACTGGCTACCTTGGGATTAATCCCTCAATGAATCCTTCATGATGAATCAAAAGATACCTCTGCAGTTGCTCTCCCTGCCCACCTTCCAATCTACCCCAGAATTCTAGGTGCCACCTCCTGCTGGGGTGCGAAGAGGAAGTTGACAATGACATCCTTTCATGAAAGAATGTGCATGAAAGAATGTCCCCTCCCAGGCAGAAACAAAACACTGCTTTTCAAGGCAATTCCTCAGTTCTGAACTAAGAAGGTACAAGTTGCAAGTCTAGGAACGCCTTGCTGGTAAATAATCTTCTCCTTAAGTCCCAAAACTGCTTAGTGTTCCCCTCCATGTAAATAAATGCAGTCATGGAGCACCTTGTCCCAGAAGCCATTAAAATGTAGCAGCTGTCTCTAAAGAGCTGCATTTTGTGCTTGCAAGTAAGGATTCCTACTGCACCTGTTAAAAAGCAAGAAGTTGCAAGTTCTACAATGGAAAGGAGAGAGTAGGCCCAGTAGAAGAAAAATACCCACCCTGATCTTTATTTCATCCTAACAAGTTTGTAGAGAGCTTAGCAGATCTATGAAAGAGTATCTGGTAGACATTTTCAATTAAACGATGCACCACATATTTATTAATGTGGTCCTTGCTGAAAACGGAGCATATTTTTTTGTTTAAAAAATGCATATCTTATTCAATACATTTCAGTTAGGTCACACAATGACTGCAAGTTAAGATTTCTTTAATTACAGAAAATACATCTTTAATTGCATCTCAGGATACAGAGACAGGCATTTAATCTGAGATATGTGACAGTCATCATGAAAAACCAGTAAGTACAGAATGGAAATTATAATAAGCATTTAAGAACTTCTAATGAAGTCACCATGAACTAGAAAGTCTTAGTTGAACAGAGCTTTCTATTTGGTTGAACTTCAATAGCCATCATTGCACATGGGTAAGTTCCTTTAAAAAGTTTGGTTTAAAAATATAAATTGAAAGCATTTGTTTAAATAGCTGGAGGGGAAAGGCACTTAGTACTGCAGTTTCCAGAGCATGATTTGTCTGTCTTCCCCTCCCGTGATCACACTGTTGCATTGCTCATTCATCCACATAGATGTTACAGCACCTGGGGAAAAAAGCAAAGCAGAACTGTGTATTAGAGGCAAGTACAGTTGGGTACGTAATAAGTGTGAAGCTAAACCTGAAAAGCATGGTTTTAAAATGGGTGCTGGGGGTCATTTAGCAGATAGCCAACAGCAACCTATTTGTTTTCTCTTGCATGAACATGCTCAACCTATCTCTTGTACAATATGAATACTCTACGGCTGAAGCATACTACATCTCCTTAGCTATCTTTTAGGACTGACTGAATTAATTTAGTCACAGCAATCTTTATTTTAAATCAGTTGGCTGAGAGCTGTAGGACTTTTCCTTCTGATCAGTTTTCAGTGAACTCTCTTCATTGCCACTTCAGTTATGTTGATTTTTTTAAAAGAAACGAATGGGCATACAAGTAAGAACACTTTTGTGGAAGCATCTGATCAGTCCAAAATATTACAAATTCCACAGTTTCGTCACTCATCCTTTAATACAGATGTAAATTTTATTAAAATGTTATAGCCAACTTCAGGGAAACCTTAAAAACAAGTTAATATAAAACTATGACAATTTTCCTCAAGCTTTCAGACTGTCTGTCCCATGCAATACTTGAACAGTTTGCAAATACACTGAAAACTGTGAAGACCATGTAACACTGCATTGACATGAAAATACAGGACTTCTGACAGATTATCTATTCCTCAGTTATATAATACGCCAGTTTTAAACATACAAATGTAAGACCAACACACACCCTGCCCCAGATTTCTAATCTAAGGCAGATATCTGAACAACTAGTTATATCTTGGAGTATATTGGCTCTGGCTTACTACTCAAGTACCCCATTCTATTAATACATCTCAAAGGTTCAAAGATTATACATCTCTTCTGTTGCTTTTTCCTCATGTCACCCAAGAGGCATTGCTGCCTAAACAGCTCTGCAGTAATCTCCGTGTCTACATGTTTAGCCCTATTAGGTTGCAGTAAAACTAGTAAGTGCTGCTGTAGGTACGTTTAAATTCAAGTACTATCTTGCAGCAGTGTTATTTACTGTGCAGCAAAGCATGTGTAGATACTAATGGCGCTGGCTGGAGCATAAGGGTGCTTCAGTGCAGGGGCTACCTGCTGGCTTGCCCCTGCACTGAAGCATCCTTGTGCTCCAGCCAGCTCCTCTGCAGCATGCTGATCCATGTTGGAGCATCTCTGGGTTGGCAAGCTGACCCTCTGGGCTCCCTGGCAGCTGGGGCTGCTCCAACCTGGTTCAATGTGTATGATTGCATGATATGCCCCAGTTTATTGCTTTGCATTAATTGCATGTGTAAATGCACCCACTGTGGAGTAAAATCTAGGATACATTACTTCATAGTAATTGTGTCATATGTCCAGCTCTTTAATACTAAAGGGGCAGCCCAACCCTAAATAGGTCCAATACTCCATCCAGAGGAGAACAGTCATCCATGTATGCACACCCTAGCTGGAATACTATGTAGATAAAACAAGATTATCTTAGTATTAAACTTTGTAGAACTCCATTTGCTATTTTCCATCCTGTACTATTTTCTTTGCATATCAGAAGTCCAACCTAATGGGCAATCTGACTAATATAATTAAGACATCCCTGCCTTTACTATGATGCAGACTCAACAGTAATGAACTAACCCCACCCTGTCCCCAGTCTTAAAGATAATATGTTCTAGGGAATCAAACTTGATTCTTAATTTCTGTTCTCCACATGACACTGGCTTGTAGATGATTATGATCAGACATTTAAAACTAAGTGTTAGAGTATACAGTGTTCCTTTAGACAAAAGGAAGTTTTGCACAGAAATCAAGAGAGATTACACAGTACCAAGCGCACCTGCATGCCCTTTGAATTTTTCAATAACTTTTCCTTCGAGAAGGTCCCAAACCAGTAATTCGCCAGACTGGCTTCCTGACAGGACTGTATTTCCATCCCATTTGAAGCACCTGCAAAGTCATTCAGTAAACCAGTTTGTCTGATTTAAGAGTCTTTAATAAAAAAAAAATCTTACCTATTTTTGGAATAAGTGAAGGATCATACTAAGAACTTTATGAATTATATTATAAAAAAGTGTCAAGACAAAGGAGCAAGTCAGAAGGAGGTAAAACAATAATAAATATTGAGTATTTAAATCACAGATACCATAGTAGTTTATGGTTCTGGAACAATATATAAGTGTAAGTGAAGAGAGGTGAGCCTTCAAGTCGCTTTTATTTCAGTGTAAGATCATTTGAAAGGAGGGCACTACTATAGTACACTACAAACCAATTTGCATTTTGGATTTGTCTTACAAATGCAGAATAAAAACCTGCATGTCCATATCACAGAAATTTAGTAACTTAAGACAAAAATATTAATTGTTTTGTCATTACCAAAAAAAACTTGGATGCAATCATTTTCATTCATCCAAACAAATATTGGTATACATTTTTCTTCTGCTTAGACTTTATCACTCCAAGAAATATGGGCAATTTCCTAGGTAAGAGCGAAGTAACCACAGCTCTGAGTAATTTAAACAGAAACTGTGAAGGCACCGCCCTGCTGCATGTGGGACCATTTATTAAGGTGCCAGTTTTTAACATTTAACTTGTGAAGCTTTGGCTGCAGTACACTGTGCATACCTGAACTGCAGCTGGAACTCTGATCTGCTGCTATACAGACATCTTGTTAAAAGGACTTCACTTTCCCTAGTTGAGACATACTTTATATAAATATTCAAAATTTCTAATTTCCATACTCTAGAACAGGGGTAGGCAACCCCCAACATGGGTGCCTGGAGAAGGGGCTGGGGCTGCACTGCCACAACAAGGATTGGGCCACTCTCAGCTCCCCTATCATCCACCCTGGGCACACAAACCTTACAAGATGAGGTTGCAGGTGTTTTTGGCACTCTGCGCAAAAATGTGGCTGATCCCAGCTCTAGAAAGGTATTTGATAACAACACAAATGTCTATGTCCTGCACTCAAAATATCATTCTCCCAAATATTTGTGCAAAACCAACTCACTGAACTTAGAAGTTACTTTTACATTTAGCATGTTCTCAGTATTACCTTTGTGGCTGGTCAGAACTCAAAGAAGAGATGAGCGTTCCAGTTTGTACATCTATAACTTTAAAACAGCCATCTTCTCCTGTGCTGAGCAGATGTCTGCTATCTATAAAAAAAGTTAAGATGCATTAAATAAATATCAAATACCTCAGTTTCTAAAGCAAAGAAAATTCTCTTTAGTATTTGGTCATAAAAACCATGTCAGAAAAATCTGTTTTTTCAAGTAAAAAATTCATCCCAATTAAGTATTGGCTATATACACCTTCAAGCAAAAAAGTGGCACCTTCTAAATTGCCAAGAAAATATGAATTCTGAAGCCAGGTAAAATAATTCAAAACACTTATAAAAGCCAAGACAATGAGATGGGCTGACCTTAAGATAATATCTAAAATCTGCCATTATCCCAAAATCCAGTATTAACATTGTAGAATTCATCATTGACTATGATCTTCTCTCTGCTTATTAAAAAAAATGTAAACACAACATACCAGGACTAAAAGCAGCATCATACACGGTCCCTGAATGACATGCAAGTTGGTGTAACACAGTAGTAGAAGTAACATCCCATATACTAATAGTGCCTTCTTTGGTTCCAGACACCAGCAATGTATTTGCAGCATTTGTGTTGATTGTATTTACCTGGAAATTAAGCAATGCATTATTCCTTCACTCACTTGCGTAGTCATTCTTAACAGTGCTTTAAGTGTTTGCAGAGTAACTCTGTCCTCTTCTAGAAGTATCCAGTTTTATTACAAAAATAAGTTTTAGAATTTTATAGGAGATCCTCAAACTAGTCAATGATAACTATTTGTAAGTGCAAAAGCAAGGGCGCATATAATCATCAACAGCCTTCAATATATTGGAAAATGCTGTATTCCTTTGCAGTACCAGAAGTCTGGATTAGTGTTTAAGGTCTTCTAAATAAGAACATCCTACTTTAAACTAAATGCTTAGCTGCACCAAGTAGTATGAAATCCAGTCTACTGCTTTGATCAGGCCAATCGTTTTTTATATATCTTTGGGAGGTGGTTGAAAAGTCAAAGGTAAAATTTACATGTGTTCATATTAGAGGTGAGTCTATAACATTCTAAAAGGAAATCCACTTTAACATTTCTTTAACCCAGTATTCTACTTCTCAGGAATGCCATCAGAAACTACAATATGGATATACAGTTATACTCAGATCCACCATATTTTAGTGTTTAGGCACAGAATGCATTTATATTTACTAGCAGACATACCAGAGTGAGTAAGAAAACACGAGTGGACTTTACTTTTATAGTTGCTCAAATTTTGGCTGAGAATTCTGAAGAAGCCATTTTGTATTTTGGCAAAAAGCATAAGGATGAAAATTCCTCAAGCATGTTAATTTTGATTTAACAAAAATCAAAGAGCCTCCAAATCCTCTGCATATATAAAAGTTAAGCCACACTAATACAAACACCCATTTGTTTATGCAGTCCCTCCATTCCCTAGAAGTGATTTTAAGAAAAAAAAATCTGGATTGGCTTTCACTTTGCTCTCAGCTTTTCTGGCATTCTTACACAACTAGAAAAACTTAGAAAAAATGGAAGCCTTAACTCAGACTTTTTGCTTTGTTGATAAACGCTCTCTCACATCCTGGTTTAGATGTTGTCAAATAACTCTTCCAATTTATTATAAGTTACACAGTGAATTATTTCCATACTTACACTAACATCATGCTCCAACTCAGCAAGCAATTCAAAACTATGTCGTCTAGTACCCAAGATCTCTGCAGGAACACACTGCCACACCTATGGTACAAACATACCAATTTGTTCAAATACACACTGGGATAGTTACTTGTGTAAGCTTTTCTATTACCGCAAGGTAAGCTGCTTGTACTAACTGAGAGCTGTACAGAAGTTACAGTGAACATCTTCTGTATTTTCAAGTTCAAAGTTAGATTTACATTTGTTTTGGTTTAACATTAATGACCAGCACCCGCAACTACAGCCCAGCCCGGACCGACAAGCTCA